TCTCTCTCTCTCTCTCTCTCTCTCTCTCTCTCTCTCTCTCTCTCTCTCTCTCTCTCTCTCCCCGCTCTCTCTTGGTCTCTCAGTTCTCTCTTTCTCTCCCTCCTCTCTCTCTCTCCCCCCCCTCCGGGCCTCCCCCTCCCCCCACGGCTCTCACGCTGTCTACCGGTTGCCGTGACCGAAAACGCAGAAGAAGAAGAAGAAAAAGAACAAGAAGGAGAAGAAGGAAGAAAAAAGAAAAAAGAAGAAGAAGAAAATAAGAGGAAGCCAACGAAGAAGATGAAAAAGAAAAATATCTCCTCTCTCTCTCTCTCTCTCTCTCTCTCTCTCTCTCTCTCTCTCTCTCTCTCTCTCTCTCTCTCTCTCTGTCTGTCTGTCTGTTATGAACTTGGTTGCCTGACGAATTTTATTGCCATTCACACAGACAATCTCACACATGCCCATACATTCATAAGAGAAGGGGAGAGAGGAGACAGAGTCCAAACTGCACACAGGTGAAGATAAGCAGCGGAAGACAATCATGCACAGATGGGGAGAGAACACAGAGTGCTTCTCACTCTCTGACACAACTCCCAGCAACCAATCACAAGAAAGAACCTGCGAAGATCACAATTGAACTGACACTGATGATGATCCACTCACACAATTATCGTAACAGAGTTTGTTCCAGTATCTCGCCACTCTCAAAACTCACACCCCACTCTCTATCCTACACCCAGTTAGTAGCGCCACATCAGAACAGCCTCCCAGAGGCCAGCGCCAACCACCCTCCTGCGATGAAGTCTTAAGTGCCGATGGACAACTCTGATGAAGGAACAGGCAGCTATGTCTGCCACCACCCACGAACACACACTGTGGAACCTCGATACAGCCCGGCCGTACACAGATACCCCTAGGGGTAGATGAGCTGAGGATGCCCCAGCTATGGCAGACTCAGAGAGGGCCGGCTATGGCTGCTGTCAACGGTGAGTCTCAGGATGCCGCCTGCAGACCGTCACCGCCACCAACTTGCTTGGCTTCTCCAACGCTGCTTCGTGAGAAATGAACTGCCAAAAAGTCCTGAACCGATGGGCCTAGCCTATCTATAGACTCTCTAGACCTAGACCGGACTGACTGACCAACCCGTACCGTTGCTGTGTCGGCCTCTCGGCGTCTACCGGACCAGGCTATAGGCTATAGGACCGTCTAGCAGCATAGGCCGCTTAGGGCCTGTCTGTCCTAGGGGTAGCCCGGGCCTGCTATAGGCAGTTAGAGTAGCTGTAGGAATTCGGGTTAGTACTGGCCTGTATTTTCCCTGATTTGCATATCTGTCCCTCACGAATTTCCCTACAGGTAGGTCTCTCGGTTAGCCCTCAGCCAAACAAAATTGTGAATCTAACCCTACCGGTTAGTGTACAGCCTCGCAGCCAATCTCGACAGTCGAAATCAGCAAGTCATTGCAGGCTTACCCTCCCCGGGAGCGAGGACCTCCGAGCTAGGGATGCACGCGAGGTGAACGGTGAGGAAGGTTGCCCTTCTGAGCCGCTTCATATCGCAACACAATGGACTTTGCTGTCTTGATCAGGTATCTTCTGTAGAACCATCGGCTCTCAGAAGGAGGCTGAAAAGCAAACCTGACAAGATACTGCCGATCGGGGTCTGTGCCCCACTCATCCTCAATCCGGTCAATGTCATATCCCTTGCCAGGGATTGGAGGACCAAACTGAGGAGGCCGGTCTGGGAATGCATCAGCTGGAGTGAAAGGCAGCAACTTGGTTGCATGAAAGACCGGGTAGGTACGTAGATGCAGCGGGACTTCGATAACATACGACGGACCGAAGGGATCCGCGCCCACTGTATCTAGGACCTGCCATGGACCCAAGTAGCGTGGCAGCAACTTGGGAGAGATATCCTCCTCCCTCGACAGCTCAGAGCTGGCCACCCAGACATGATCACCAGTGCGGATGGGGGAAGGCCGCCTGTGGCGATTGGCTTGTTCAATGATAGCCTTTTGGGCTTTGAACAAGTTCGCGCGGGCTCTTTCCACATCTAAACGATAACGTCTGGCGAACTCTGTTGTGCCTGGTGTCAGATCAGGCTTAGCCTTGTCGATGATGTCATCGAGAGGCTGTCGTGGCTCACGTCCCCAGTGCAACCAGTATGGACTGAACCCAGTCGAGGAGTGGACAGACATGTTATACATAAGTTGTGCCCTAGCCAAGTGAAGATCCCGGTCCTGCTGATCTGGAGAGATGACAGGACGCAGCAGCTGGAATAAGACCTGGTTCATCACTTCAGCCAATCCAGTGGCTTCAGGATGGTGACCAGAAGTCATATCCAGTCGTGAGTGCAAATAGTCCTTACAGTAGGACTGCCACTCATCGCTGCAAAATCTGGGGTCCCGGTCACTGACTATAGAAGTGGGCGGTCCATGGTGTGTGACCCACCTCTCAAAGAAGGCTGCTCTCACAGCCGGTACCCTGACTACCTCTGGCAAGGGGATGAACTCTGCGTATTTGGAGAACCTGTCCACGCAGACCAAAACTTGACGCATGCCACGAGGGGTGGTCTTGCCTATATCTGTGAAGTTTATCGACACAGATTCAGCAGGGCCATCAGGTATGGGTAAGGGTTTGAGCAGTCCCAAAGGAGGTTTACGTTGAACCTTGTTCCTTTGGCAGAGCTCACAGGTGTCCACATAACGCAGCATCTCACTCCGCATCTCCTTCTTGAAGAAGCGCTGCGACAGGGCTGCATAAGACTTTAGGAACCCGAAATATCCACGGGCATTATGACACTCTGACATCAGCAGTGTCCTGAGCCGCTGGTCCTGGGGAATGCACAAGCGCTCCTCACCTCTGCTGCAGGTGTACAGCAGGTCTGAACTCAGGGCATAGCCTGGTTCAGAATTAGAATCTGCTTGCAAATTTCTGACAATGGGCCCGAAAGTCTCGTCCTGAGGCAGTAGACGAGCAATGGTCTGACGGGTCTCCTCTCCAAAGGAGTGAGTAGAGGAGATCAGCGCAAAAGAGTCAGGCCTACGAGAGAGGGCATCTGCTACCTTATTGTAGCAGCCCTTCTTATGTTTCAGTTCAAGGTCGAACATGTCGATGAACTGAATGTACCGTGCCAACTTATCGTTCAACTCTCCCTGGGACTTCATCCACTGCAAGGTGCAGTGATCTGAGAAGATCTTGAAGTGCCTGCCCATGAGAAAGTGTTTCCAATGTTTCAGGGCACAGACAAGAGCATACAGCTCTTTCTCGTAGGTAGAGTCCTGGAGATTTTAGGTCTTGATCTTGTTACTCATGAACTCTACGGGCCGTAGACCATTCCCATCATCCTGCTGAAGAACTTCCCCAATGCTATACTGACTGGCGTCAGTGGTCAGGATGAATGGCAAAGTGGGGTCAGGTAACTTCAGAACAGGCGCACGAGTCAAGGCCTTCTTGAGTCGTGTGAAGGCCAACTGACAGTGGAGGGACCAAAGAAAGGGAGTGTCATTCTTTGTTAGGTTAGTSAGGGGTGCAGCCACTGCAGAAAAGTTCCTAACAAACTTTCTGTAGTAGGAGGCTAAACCCATGAAGGACCTGACATCCCTCACTATCTGAGGCTGAGGCCACTCCTGAATAGCAGCAATCTTGGCTGCTTCAGAAGCCAGGCCATCTCCAGAGATTACATGACCCAGGTAGATTACAGAGGGAACTCTAAAAGAGGACTTCTCTCTGTTGATCTTGTACTGGCTGTCACGTAACGACTGAAGCACTAGAGCCAAGTGCTCCGCATGTTCCTTGGCAGTTTTGCTGAATGCCAGAATATCATCTAGGTAGACAACCATAAACTTGTCCAGGTAAGGCCTGAAGATGCGGTGCATCTCTGTCTGGAAGGTGCCTGGGGCATCGCAAAGTCCAAATGGCATGACCAGGAACTCGTAAGTCCCATACCTGGTCTTGAAGGCTGTCTTGTAGACATCCTCCTCTGCCATCTCAATCTTGTGGTAGCGAGATTTGAGGTCGACTTTGTTGAACACTGTACAGCCCGGCACCATATCCAGGAGGTCATCGATCCTAGGAAGTGGCTCAGTGCTCTTCCTAGTGATCTTATTGAGACCCCTGTAATCAATGCACATTATGAACTTGTCGTTCCCTTTGGGTACAAAGAAAACAGGTGCACCAAATTCAGATGTGCTGGGTGTGATCCAGCTTTTGCTGGTCAGGGTCTCAAGCTGCTTTCTGAGCTCCTCAAGCTTAGCAGGGGACATCCTGTAGATGCGGCCCATGGGAGGGACCGCTCCAGGCAGCAGCTCGATGTGATGCTTGGTTGGCCGGTTGGGTAACCCAAAGGGCTCCTGCATCAGATCAGCATACTGATCTACCACCTGTTGTATCTCAGGAGGACAGGAAACAGGGGGAGCTTATGTCTGCTTGACCAGAGCAATAAATAGATGCCCGTGGTGGTACTAATGAGAGAGAGCATGAAACTCCCTCGCTCTCAAACAGTAGCAGGAGGTCTTGGGGTGTTGATCAACAACAATCATGCATTGCTGATACACCCCCTGACTGTCTGGTAGTTCAACTCTAGGGATCTGCCAGTCGATCCTAGGGTTGACTGCCCTCAACCACTGCATGGAGAACACCAAATCAAAGGGGAGCTCAAGGAATATGTAAAAGTTCAGACTGTGTCTGACTTTTCCTGCAGTATCGAAGGTCACAGGGATACCCTTGACCTTCTCCCTAATGCTGAGTACGGTAGAGTCACCAATCCGCACCAGCAGCAGTTGCTGCAGCTGCTGAACTTTCATGCCCAGATGCAACTTTTTAACTGCATTAGGAGACATGAAGTTCCTGGTGGCCCCACACTCCAACAGCCCAGTGATCCTGGTGCTGTTCATCAGTGGCCGGAGCATGATGAGATCAGTCTTGCTCTTCTTCAGTTCCTTCAGATGAAGGAAGAAGGCAGCAATAGACTGGAGCTCATCCTGCCCCGGGTCCTGATCCGGGTCAGGATCCTCATAGCAGAAGGATGCTGCCCGCGCAGTCCCCAAACTCACACTGTCACCTGCAGTCTTAAATGAAACAGCTGCAGATTCACCCACCTGAGTAGATGAAGGTGCAGCACTGGGGTGAACTGCAGTCCCCAGGGTCTGTTTCAGTTTTTTGACTGCCCTAGGCCTGGCATGTAAAGGCAGTCCTTTAAAAAGTGTTGTCCCTCACACCTCAGGCAAACCCCTCTCTCCTTTCTTCTTCTCCAGACTCCCTCCTGGATCTTGAGGTCATGCCAGGGGAGTGTGGAGGGATTGAGAGGTTCAGTTGGCATGTGGACGTCTCTAGGCAGGTTAGGGCGCTGGGAAGAGGAAGGTCGGCGTCCCTTTTGCTTCCCCTTGGCACTGGCTGAGGCTGTGGTGGGAGAAAACTTTTTCTGCAGCTGCAGAACTCCCAAAATAGCCTGAGTCACGGCTGCTGCAACATCTGTCTCAGCAGCAGATCCAGTCCCAGTTGAAGGTGTATCAGTCTGGGAGTCTGAGTCTGATCCTGAGGCAGACCCTGCATGCGTGAAGGCTGCCTTTCCCTTTCTACCACCTCGAGGGAAGGCACCTCTCCTCCAATCAGTGGATGGGGCCTGAACATGGAGCTTGGCCTCCATTTCCAGGGCTGCACGGCCAAAGGACCTCCAGTCCTTGTGCCCAGCGCTATAAAGAGCAACAACAAACTTCTCAGGCGCTGCCCTGCAGAAGTTGGTCAGCAAATCATCAGGGCTCATGACCAACCCAGGGGTGGAGGTGAGTTGCTCAAACTCAGCAAACAAGGCCTGCAAGGTCCCGCTGTACCGCTGCTGTCCCAGGCGAGCAATCCTATCAGCAGCCTTGCGGGCCCGTTCCTTGTCTGCAAACCGGTCCTCCAGGGCGTGCAGAAGTCTGTCCACCCCCAGCCCAAAAGCCCAGTCCTCCATCGACTGCTGCAGACTGCTGGAAGTTGAGGTGGCCCACTTCAATGCGGGTCCCTCCAGCAGTCCCAGAACAATCGCCACCTTGGTCTGTTCTGCACAGGTGAAGCCCCTCAAGTAGGCTCGGGTCGCAGCAGCCCAGTCCCCAACATCGGTCTTGGGGTCATCACCCCTAAACTTGTTGGGAGCAGGGATTTTGGGACCTCTTTGGTCTCCTGCAGTAACAGCAGCATAGGTGGCCTTTGCTGAGGCCTTTTGGGAAGGGGTGGATGACCGGGAAGAATGTACAGAGCCAGCTTGTGATGTATGTGGAGAGGAAGGGGGTGAAGAATGAGGAGAAGGTTTGGGCTGCAGCAGAGGGGGCTGAGGAGTGATCAGCTTGGCGGCTTCCAGATGAGCAGTCAAGCCCTGAATAGACTTCAGGATCTTGGTCTGTTGAGCTGACAGCTCGTCAACCCGACGCTCCAGCCGCACAAAACGATCATCCCAGTTCGTGAACTGGGAGCTGGTAATCTTGTGCTCCAGCAAGATCATCTCTGCCATATGCTTGGTGATCTGGGAGCAACGATCATCAGCGAGCGACCTTTCTAGCTGCTGCAACAAAGATTCTCTTCTGGAATGATCTGTTGCAGCCTCTAGTTCAACAGCCTCCTGCTGTTCCACTTCTGCGAGTCTGGCCTGTTGCTGACGCAGCTGTTCTTCCAGCTCCTTCTTCAACCGCTGAGTAGCAGTCAGAGGTGGAGAAGGGGGAGTGGAGGCTGAAGGCTGTTCGCCTTCTACCTTCATCACCACCTCCACCTGTGGCTGCTGCTCTGTCCCCTGCTCAGACATTTTCCCAGTTCAAAACAAAGACCAAAAATAAAATAAACAGCAACCCGAGTTGCAGCGATAAACAGATTCCTGCAGACACACTGGAATCGCTGCAACACTCAGACAGTGGAGTAGGTGGGTGAATAGGTAATCAGCGGGTTGGGTTAGAAGGGTGTCTCTGGGGTCAGGTGTCAGACAGACTGTAAGTCCACCAAAATCAGCCACACGATTTCCTTTTACTGACCCTGGACCACACAGGAGTTAGTAGAGTCACTCCACTACTCTTCCAGAGACCCACTAGAAATTCCAATACCCACTAGAAAGCAAGTGTTGTCAGTGAGAATGATCGAAAATGGTTAGTACAGACAAAAGAGGTCAGTCACAACAAGCGATGCAGACAGTTACCCTGTAACCTGACTCAAACTCAATTTTAGACCTTGATGACTCTGGCGGTCATACCCTAGGGTATGGCGAAGTACAGTTTTCACTGTATCCAGTGAAATACTGCCAATCCAACTCTGCGATTCTACAGTATTGTCTACTTTTGGATTGCGATTCACTGGGGACTGACAGAACTGAATTCTGACCGACAGAATTGAAGTTATGACTGACCCTAGGTAGCACAGGCGAAAAATAGACTCAACGCAAAACAACAATTCACAGTATCCCTACCTTTCTAGTACAGAATTCACTGTTTGAGCATCCCAGATCAATCGCAATGCAGTATAGCAGCCACAAAACCAATTTGGACCAGAAAGAGTCACCAGAGGGAGAGAAATGAGCAGAGAGAGGTAGGGGAGAGATGGCTATGGTTGTCTTGCAGTTTGCGATTTTCACATCCAGTCACTGACAGACAGATAGACCATTACAATTCACTAACCTAACCCTATCTGGATCGCAATATAGGTAGGTGCATGGAACGGACTCACTTTCTGAGAATCTTGCAGGTGATGATGAAGATCTGGCTATGGCTGATGATACCCTTATCTCGCCAATTCCTCCCAGATATTCCTCCTGATGATCCCACGCACAAAACCTCCTCAAATTTGTTGATCCTCCTCAAAAATTTGTTGATCCTCCTCAAATTTGTTGATCCTCCTCAGGATCCTGTAGCACTGCACTCCCTCAACCCAGATAGCCAACACCAAAATATCTCGCCATAGTACGTAGTAGCCACTAATGCTAAAAATAGCCCCAGATGGGGTTATTTCTTCAAGAGATTGACACAGACTGTCAATCTCTATCAGCGCTACCCAGGGATGATGCCGCTCAGGGTTCCCTGATGTCCTCAAGGGTAATTCGCCACTCTGGGGGTAATTCGCTGTACTACCCTCAGGGTTGGCTATGGTGAATTAGCCCTGTACTCGCCACTTCCTGACAAGCTCCCTGACAGGCTCAGTGCGCTTGCTCAGTGCAACCACTGAACACTTGAATCCACCGCTGGAAATCTTATTCCCTGCTGACTCAGTACTGGGGAAGATGAATCGCCATGAAACTCTCGCCATTATATCGCCAGGATGAAGAAGATGTTTCTGTGCGCTCAACCCTTAGTGCTCCAAATCCAATCTCACTCCGATACCACTGTTATGAACTTGGTTGCCTGATGAATTTTATCGCCATTCACACAGACAATCTCACACATGCCCATACATGCATAAGAGAAGGGGAGAGAGGAGACAGAGTCCAAACTGCACACAGGTGAAGATAAGTAGCGGAAGACAATCATGCACAAATGGGGAGAGAAAACAGAGTGCTTCTCACTCTCTGACACAACTCCCAACAACCAATCACAAGAAAGAACCTGCGAAGATCACAATTGAACTGACACTGATGATGAGCCACTCACACAATTATCGTAACAGAGTTTGTTCCAGTATTTCGCCACTCTCAGAACTCACACCCCACTCTCTATCCTACACCCAGTTAGTAGCACCACATCAGAACAGCCTCCCAGAGGCCAGAGCCAACCACCCTGATGAAGAACAGGTCCTGCGATAAAGTCTTCAGTGTCGATGGACAACTCTGACGAAGGAACAGGCAGCTATGGCTGCCACCACCCACGAACACACACTGTGGAACCTCGATACAACTCGGTCGTACGCAGATACCCCCAGGGGTAGATGCGTTGAGGATGCCCCAGCTATGGCAGACTCAGAGAGGGCCGGCTATGGCTGCTGTCAACAGTGAGTCTCAGGATGCCGCCTGTAGACCGTCACCGCCACCAACTTGCTTGGCTTCTCCAACGCTGCTTCGCGAGAAATGAACTGCCAAAAAGTCCTGAACCGATGGGCCTAGCCTATCTATAGACTCTCTAGACCTAGACCGGACTAACTGACCGACCGATACCGTTGTTGTTTCGGCCTCTCGGCCTCTACCGGACCCGGCTATAGGCTATGGGACCGTCTAGCAGCATAGGCCGCTTAGGGCCTGTCTGTCCTAAGGGTAGCCCGGGCCTGCTATAGGCAATTAGGGTAGCTGTAGGAATTCGGGTTAGTACTGGGCCTATATTTTCCCAGATTTGCAGATCTGTCCCTCACGAATTTCCCTACAGGTAGGTCTCTTGGTTAGCCCTCAACCAAACAAAATTGTGAATCTAACCCTACCGGTTAGTGTACAGCCTCGCAGTCAATCTCGGCAGTCGAAATCAGCAAGTCATTGCATCTCTCACACACACACACACACACTCTCTCCCCGCTCTATCTTTGTCCCTCCGCTCTCTGTTTCTCTCTCTCCTCTCTCTCTCTCTCTCACTCTCTCTCGCTTTCTCTCTCTCCCCCCACAGCCCCACCGCAGCTGTCACGCTCTCTACCAGCTGTCGTGATCGAAATTGCAGAAGAAGAAGAAGAAAAAGAACAAGAAGGAGAAGAAGAAGAAAAAGAAGAAGAAGAAGAAGAAGAAAAATATTTTCTCTCTCTCTCTCTCTCTCTCTCTCTCTCTCTCAACTCTCTCTCCCTCTCAACTCTCTCTCTCTCTCTCTCTCTCTCTCTCTCTCTCTCTCTCTCTCTCTCTCTCTCTCTCTCTCTCTCTCTCTCTGACGCATGGCCAGTCGGACAACACGTACCGAGCCAAGGATTCGCCATCTGATTAAAACGACTGAAATGGACAATGCAAGGTCAGCATAACATCAACAAGCAATGTACATTCCGATACATACAAGATGGCACAAAGTGGCGCAGCGGAAATCTTNTCTCTCTCTCTCTCTCTCTCTCTCTCTCTCTCTCTCTCTCTCTCTCTGACGCATGCCCAATGGGACAATGAGTAGGGAGCCAAGGATTCGCAATGTGATGAAAAGGACTGAAATGGACAATGCAAGGTCAGCATAACATCAACAAGCAATGTACATTCCGATACATACAAGATGGCACAAAGTGGCGCAGCGGAAATCTTTAAAGAGAAGATCTGATCTGATCTGGACTGACCCGACATCCATCATACATCACACCTCTGGGAGGGGAGGAGCGACCGCAATCACAGAAGAAAGGTCCCTCCTTCACACACATGCATGGGGAGATGCCACGGATGAGAGATTCGGGGGAAGGGACGAGACGAAGGAGAAGGAGGCGAGGGAGTAGACCAAGATCGCGATAGCGAAGTCCCAAAAATAGTCCCTTGCCAAGTGTCCAATCAATATCTGTCCCAAAAATGTCGAATCAGATCCTAGGCAATGTGCCCAACATAACCTCTGCTTGTATCTCCTACCGATAACCTCTCTCACTCTCGTAGATGAAGAAGAAGGTAAGAAGAGGAGGAAGAGGGAGAAAGGAGAGAGAGAGAGATGGAGGAGGAAGAAGAAGAAGGTGATGTCCTCCTCGCTATCCCACCTGCAGGTAGCTGTCACCGTACTGACTGTGGTCGCTGTCGTGTGCAGGTACCCCGCAGAGCCCAGCTATGGCGCCAGGTAAGTTCGCTGATTGCAGGTAAGGCCTCCGCCTCTCTTCACTACCTACTCCGCTACTCCCTATTTCGTAGCTTGGTGTAGAATAGCGATGCTTCGACCGGCAGCGTGTCGCTCCAGAAGTGGGCTACTTGAACTGTCCCTGCCCAACCGCTGCCCAGCTATTTGTAGTGCTGGGCCGGATGGGCCTACCTGATGCTGGCCTCAGAAAACGGCCCCGCTGGTCTGGGTCCCTACCAGACGTCCAGACCGCGCTGCTGATGCAGCAAGGCGCAGAAATGCACCTGGCCTAAAATCGGCCTGGTACATCTGCACCTAGCCCAAGGTGTTGCCTTGGGACCTGCAGGACCGAAACTACGCCTGTTACTGATTTGGCGCCAAAATGCGCCTGGCCTCGTTTCAGACCTGCCTCCGGTGTACCCAGCCCCAAGGTCTGGCCTTGGGGCTGCAAGTCCGAAACGGCACCTGACAGACAAGGTAGGACAGCACACACACACAGAAAGGTAAGTAAATTAAACCTATTCTAACTAGTGTGCTACCTAGGGCATGAAGGGCCGTCGTGGGCCTCCAGGGCGCGTGCTATATGGTACGCGGCCTGGGGGCCCCTCAACAACCGTCGAGCCCCTCAAATGGGGCCCGTGTGCAGGCGCAGCATGCAACACCCCCCCCTCCTTATGAAGTGAAGTCGGGTCAAGGGCGAAGCTGACGATTTGAAGGTGGTACTTGGACGTGGGTGCGGCGTGGAGCCGAAGATGCCGACTTGCCTTGCAACTTGCGTTCGTAGCGTGAGAGGACGTCGGGAGCTGTTGCTTGAAGTTCTGCATGGGTCAACCATCTGTCAACTCTATGGGTGCAATATGCAAAATGGATCAAGAATTCAGTCGGCCTGTTGCCGTAGCGTCGCTGGGATATGATGTCGCCGACCTATTGGAAACCGTCCATCGAGGGCGGGTCTTGCGATTCTTCGTCCGGGAAAGTCGTCAAGTTCCGCTGGCGTGTAGAGAGGCAACTTGGAACAGTGAAAGACCGGGTTGATGGGCAAGTGGGTGGGCACCTGAATGATAAATGAAGGTCCTTCTGGTGCATCCCCAATGGGTGCCACGATCGACCAGGGCCCCATCCATTTCGGAAGGAGCTTGCGAGAGATATCTTGTTCGAGGCTGAATTCCGCAGTGGAAACCCATACGAGGTCGCCGGCGTGGAACGAACAAGGAAGACACTGGCGGTTGGCCTGTTGTCGCATACGTTGTTGCGTCTTTGACATCTGGTCACGTGCCTTGACAAGAAGCTCTTGCATCCGATGAGTGAAGAGAAGGTGGTCGTCGCTCTCGGCCGCCCGTGGGATGATTGTGTCCAACGGAGAATTGACCAGCGAGCCATGCTCGAATTCAAAGGGTGACATCCCGATAGTCGGATGGATGGACGAGTTGTATGCCAACTCTATATCCGGCAGCCGCTCGACCCAATCCTTTTGGTCGGGACGGATGAGAGTGCGAAGAAGGACCTGTGCGGTCTGATGTGCCCTCTCCGTTTGGCCATTGGTTTGGGGGTGGCGAGCCGAACTCGGCGTGAGGGATGAGCCCCATCGTTTGATGAGCGCCAACCAAAAATCGGACATGAACCGAGTGTCGCGGTCGCAAACGATTTCCTTGGGGTAACCCTTGGTTCGAATCCAACCGGCGTAGAGAACCTCGGCCAACTCCGGTGCCTTGGCGTGGTAGCGGCAAGGCAAAAACATGGCAAACTTGGTGAGCCGGTCAACCACCACGAGAATCCCATCCACACCTGTCTTGTGCTTGGGGAACGGCCTGGTAATGTCCACGGCAATCGCTTCCCTTCGGCGCAAGGGGACCGGTAATAGTCGCAGTTCGCCGTACGGACGATGATTGCGGGATTTGCAACGTCGGCAAAGCTCGCACGACTCACAATAGCGCGTGACGTCGTCGAGAAGACCAGGTCACCAAAAGCGCTCGCGGAGTCGGCCAATCGTACGATTGACTCCAAAGTGTCCGATGGCGGGGGCGTCATGGAACTCGCCAAGAAGCCGCGTGCACAAGTGTGAATCTTGCAGCACACGAAGTAGATCCTTCCCCCGTGAGTGAACGAGCAAGTATCCCTATTGGATCCGATAGTGCGAAGGCGCCGGATTGGGAGAGGAACAATTTGCGTACTTGTCGCGAAATTCAAGGTCGGCTTGATAGCCGTGGATGAAACTGTCCCTGAAGTCATCCTCTATCTCGAAGGTCGAGTAGACAGCGGTGCAGTGATCCAGACGCCGTGAAAGAGCATCCGCAAAACGGTTTGACTTCCCCGAAATATGATCGGGAAAGAAGTCGAACTGGTCGATGAAAGTCATCCAACGGGCGATCGTATTGTTGACGGTGTCTCGGGTCTTGTAGAAGACCAACGGATTGTTGTCCGTTACCCATCGAAATTGGAGTCGACCAAGGAGGAAGTGCCGCCACCGCTTGAGTGCGTGGACGAAGGCGAGAAGTTCCTTTTTGCGTGCATCATCAATTGAATGCACGACCGACACTTTCTTGCTGAAGTATTCGACTGGGTGCTAGTCCACACCATGATGTTGTTCAAGGACGGCACCAATGCCATAGCCGGGCGCATCCGTAGTAACGCGCGTTGGCAATAGCGAGTCGTATATTCGCAAGACTTCCGCTGATAGCAATGCGGCCGTAAGGGCCAAAAATGATCCTCGCGCATCCGTCCCGAAGTTAAATGGCCGGTCCTCGCATTGAAGCTTGGATAAGTGGGCCGCGATCTTCGAGTATCCTTTGATGAAACGTTGGTAGTAGCCACCAAGGCCAAGGAACGAACGGACATCCGTGATGTTCCGCGGCTCCGGCCAATCTTGGATGGCTTGAATCTTGTCCGACAATGGACAGATGCCTTGTGGAGTGACGAAACGGCCCAAGTATTCCAACTCTTGACGTACGAACTCGCACTTGTCGCGGTTGGCTTTGTACTTGGCGCGACAGAGCGTCCCCAACACTCGTCGAAGATGCTCGAGATGTTCCTCCAAGGTTCGGCTATAGACGAGGATGTCGTCTAAGTAGACCAGCACGAGCCGGTCTAACATTGCACGAAACTCGTTGGTCATCGCCACGTGAAAAGTCGCCGGGGTGTTGGTGAGTCCGAAAGGCATGACGACCCACTCAAAATGCTTGTACCGTGTCTCAAACGCGGTCTTGTAGCGATCTTGCGGGCGTATCGATATCCGATGATACCCCGACTTTAAATCCAACTTGGAAAAAAAATCCGCGCTGCCCAAACGCTCCAGAAGGTCGTCAATACGAGGAAGAGGTTCCGCGTTCTTGATGGTTTGTGCATTGAGCTTGTGGTAATCGATGCTAGGCGGAGGTCCTTGTTCTTCTTCTGTACGAAGAGAACAGGTGCACCATAGGGTGAGCTACTAGGCCGGATCCAGCCTTTGTCCAACAAATCGTCGAGCTGCGTGCGGAGTACTGTAAGTTCCTCCTCGCTCATGCGATAGATGCAACCTTGGCGGCACAGCACCGGCCTCGAGAATGACCTCGTGGGAGATCGGTCGATCCGGCACCACGCCGATAGGTGACTCGAAGCTGTCGGCGAATTCGTCAAGCAACCGTACCACACGGGGGTCCGAAGACAAGTCCGTGGGTTGAGATTCGGCTGCCGCGACGGTGGGAAGAAAGCATAGGCCTATCTCGTCGGTCCGCTCGTAAGCGCAAGTGGCCCGAAAAGATTTGGCTGTTACAACTTGGCACCGGATCGAAGGGTGCAGAAGAGGGATGGTACATGGTACTTCGGCGCCAAACGCATCGCGGACTGTAAGTGTCCGCCGATGGAAGTTGACCGTGTGATCCACACTTGCAAGCCAAGGCATGCCAAAATGATCTCGAAGTTCGTGTCCAAGACGTCAAACGTCACCGGTTCGCAGGCATGAGGTGCGAAATAGACCATTACGGCCTCGATGTAGCGATCAAGGAGTTGTTGCGTCCTACCGTCCGCCAACTTGATCGCCGTAGGGTGTGCTTTCCTTCGAACTTGTGGTCCAAGGCCGGCCCTTTGCATAAAGGACTGGCTAATGAAATTGCGAGTCGCGCTGCTATCCAGCAAAGCGCTGCAGGATGCTTGCCCAACTTGGATGCGGACATAAAGGAGCGGTGCGTTGTTGTCATCGTACCGCTGCATGCGAAACTCGCGGGCCACCTTGCTAACGTATGCAAGAATGTCCCCCACCGCGACTTCGTCCTTCGTTGGCAAAGTTCGTGGTGCATAGAAGGCTAGGTATGTATGTAGATGAGCGCTAAGAGCTGCGCATTGCAGCTCCGGTAAGCAGCCGGTGGAAGGGAGAGGGAGCCATGCAAAATCCTCGGGCGTCAACGCGTCCAAGTCCTCTATGTTGAACGCGCGCGCCGAATCACGTGAAGGTCCACTTGAAGACGACTCAATGCTGCTGCTTCCGATCGGAGAAGAAACTACACATACATCTTGTCCTTGAGCTCGTGAATTCGGGAAAGGTACGAGTCGGGCAGCATAGTCCTCGGAAGAATGAAGAATGGGAGGACTTATGACTTCCGTATGAGCCCCGGAACCGAGGGAGGTCACCCGTACGGCAACCGGTTCCGAAGGCGTCGAGAGTGTTGTCGCATCACTCTCAGCGGTGCTCACTTTCCCGACTGAGCGGGGCCCTTGGCTTTCGTGGGACAGTTCACGGTCTCATGTGTCGTGCAATTGCACCACAAACAATAACGGTACTTGCTGCGGACGCGATACTCGCGCTCCGTCAGCCCGTATTTTGTCCAAGGTTCTTGAGTTGGAGCTGCTTGTCTTGGCCCAGAAGAAGTGGTGTTTGTCTTCGTTTTGCTGCGTCCTCGTCCTTTGGCGGGGCGGCCACCATTCTGATCAGCTGCTAATCTGTCTCCCTCGACAGATGAGGCAGCCTCGTTTGAAGTTGAGGGGTCGCTTGGCGTTGCTGCCGCGACCACGACCACTTTCGGTCGATGCTG